TGTACACTGGTGGTGTGTACGTGCACACACCACCAGTAAATGCCCCCCCCCCCCCCCCACACACACACACACTTACACATTACAGATACCTCTGACACCAGTGCAATAAAAAATGTCACATAAGAGAAAACTGAAGCGATTCAGTCTGGTCAGCTGCAACTCTTCTTCTTCTGGTGTTTTTTGGCACATTGAAAGAGATACAGTATATATAGAGGTTGGGCTTTTATTTTGATAGTCTACTTCCGCTTTTCAGCAAGGAATTTGCATATTAGCTAAATATTTAGGTTAAGTTAAATATTTAGATCTGAGGTAAATTTTTAGTTAACAAATTAAATATTTATTTTGGAAATGAATGTTTAGCTTGGAAAATAAATAATAAGGTTCAAGCTAAATATTGAGTTAGCAAATTAAATATTTAGTTTGGGAATTAAATGTTTAGTTTAGAAATTAAATGTTTAGTTTTGAAAAATAAATGTTTAACTTGTAATTTAAATATTTAATTTACACCTAAATATTTTGTACTTCACTAACTAAATATTTAACTTGTAATTTAAGAATTTAATTTGTAAACTAAATATTTAGCTTGTAAATTAAATATTTACTTTAGATCTATGACATTTATAAATGTTTGAATAACATGGTGAAAATTTGACTTTTGAAAAAAAAAATCTTATTAAAGGCTAAATAAACCAAAATATTGCTGTTAATTTTTGACTGTGTAACTTTACAAATGGCACCCCATAATTTCACTCAGATATCAAACTTATTATATTATATTATAGGTGAGGGACCAGACAAAGTGCAGCCCAAAGACCCCGATGAAGAGAAAAATAAATGGACTTAATGTTCCCTTGCCCGGATGTGGGTCACCGGGGCCACACTCTGGAGCCAGGCCTGGAGGTGGGGCACGCGGGCGAGCGCCTGGTGGCCGGGCTTTTACCCATGGATCTCGGCCGGGCACAGCCCGAAGAGGAGACGTGGGTCACCCTTCCCATGGGCTCAAAAACCTGTGGGAGGGGCCAAAGGGGTCGGGTGCAATGTGGGATGGGTGGTGGCCGAGGGCGGGGACCCTGGCGGTCTGATCCTCAGCTACAGAAGCTGGCTAATGGGATGTGGAATGTCACCTCACTGGTGGGGAAGGAGCCTGAGCTGGTGTGTGAGGCTGAGAGGTTCCGGCTAGAAATAGTCAGACTCACCTCTATGCATGGCTCTGGCTCTGGAACCAGTTTCCTTGAGAGGGGCTAGACACTCTTCCACTCTGGAGTTGCCCCTGGTGAGAGGCACTGAACAGGAGTGGGCATACTTATTGCCCCCCAACTTGGTGCCTGTGTGTTGGGGTTCACCCCGGTGAATGAGAGGGTGGCCTCCGCCTACGTGTGGGGGGATGGGTTCTGACTGTCATTTGTGCTTATGCACCAAACGGCAGTTTAGATTATCCACCCTTTTTTGAGTCCTTGGAGGGGGTACTGGAAAGTGCACCTCCTGGGGACTCCCTTGTTCTGCTGGGGGACTTCAATGCTCATGTGGGCAATGACAGTGAGAACTGGAGGGGTGTGGTTGGGAGGAACGGCCCCCCTGATCTGTACCCGAGTGGTGTTCTGTTGTTGGACTTCTGTGCTCGTCATGGATTGTCAATAATGAACACCTTGTTCAAGCACAAGGGTGTCCATATGTGCTCTTGGCACCAGGACACCCTAGACCACAGTTCGATGATCGACTTTGTCATCGTCTCATCTGATCTGCGGCCACATGTCTTGGACACTCGGGTGAAGAGAGAGGCGGAGCTGTCCACTGATCACTACCTGGTGGTGAGTTGGCTCTGATGGTGGGGGAGGATGCCAGTCAGACCTGGCAGACCCAAACATATTGTGAGGGTTTGCTGGGAACGTCTGGCAGAGTCTCCTGTGAGATGGAGTTTTAACTCCCACCTCCGGGAGAACTTTGAACATGTTCCGAGGGAGGTGGGGGACATCGAGTCTGAGTGGACCATGTTTCATGCCTCTATTGTCGAGGTGGCTTACCGGAGCTGTGGCCGCAAGGTTGACGGTACCTGTCGCGGCGGAAACCCTCGAACCCGATGGTGGACAACGTCGGCGTGGGATGCTGTCAGGCTGATGAAGGAGTCCTATCGGGCCTTTTTTGCCTGTGGGACCCTGGAAGCAGCTGATGGGTACCGGCAGTCCAAGCAGCATGCGGCTCGGGTGGTTGCTGAGGCAAAAACTCGGGCATGGGAGGAGTTCGGAGAGGCCATGGAGAATGACTTCCGCATGGCTTCAAGGCGATTCTGGTCCACCATCCGGCGTCTCAGTGGGGGGGAGCGGTACGCCACCAACACTGTTTATAGTGGGAGTGGTGTGCTGCCGACCTCAACTCGGGATGTTGTGGGTCGGTGGGCGGAATACTTTGAAGACCTCCTCAATCCCACCGGCACGTCTTCCACTGAGGAAGCGGAGCCTGGGGACTCTGGGTCGGGCCCTCCAATCTCTGGTGTTGAGGTCACCGAGGTGGTTAAAAAGCTCCTTGGTGGCAGGGCCCCAGTGGTGGATGAGATTCGCCCGGAGTTCCTTAAGGCTCTGGATGTTGTAGGGTTGTGTTGGCTTACGCGACTCTACAATATTGCGTGGACATCAGGGGAAGTTCCCCTGGATTGGCAGACCGGGGTGGTGGTCCCCCTATTCAAAAAGGGGGACCGTAGAGTGTGTTCCAACTACAGGGGAATCACACTCTTAAGCCTCCCTGGTAAGGTCTATTCGGGGGTTCTGGAGAGGAGGGTCCGTCGGATAGTCAAACCTCGGATTCAGGAGGAGCAGTGTGGTTTTCGTCCTGGCCGTGGAACACTGGACCAGCTCTACACTCTCAGCAGGGTCCTGGAGGGTGCGTGGGAGTTTGCCCAACCGGTCTACATGTGCTTTGTGGACTTGGAGAAGGCGTTCGACCGTGTCCCTCGGGGAACCCTGTGGGGGATACTCTGGGAGTATGGGGTACCGGGCCCTTTGATACGGGCTGTTAGGTCCCTGTATGACTGGTGTCAGAGCCTGGTCTGCATCGCCTGGTCTGCATCGCCTGGTCTGTATCGCCTGGTCTGCATCGCCTGGTCTGCATCGCCTGGTCTGCATCGCCTGGTCTGCATCATCGGCAGTAAGTCGAGCTTGTTCCCGGTGAGAGTTGGACTCCGCCAAGGTTGCCCTTTGTCACTGATTCTGTTCATAACTTTTATGGACAGAATTTCTAGGCGCAGCCAAGGTGTTGAGGGGATCCGTTTTGGTGGCCTTAGGATTGCATCTCTGCTTTTTGCAGATGATGTGGTCTTATTGGCTTCATCTGGTCGTGATCTACAGCTTTCGCTGGAGCGGTTCGCAGCCGAATGTGACGCGGCCGGGATGAAGATCAGTTTCTCCAAATCCGAGGCCATGGCCTTGAGCCGGAAAAGGGTAGA